GTCTATGCTTTACCGTAAATACGCTTGTTACAGGGCTTTCAGCACTTCCATGTTGAAAGTGGATTTTTATTTGAATCTCAAAATAACATCTTCCATGCATGCTGTTGATAAGTTACTAATATATAGTTATTAATATTTAAGAACCATGACACGGTGTAACTAACTGATTGAAAACTATTATTTAAGAAAGAATATTTAAACCTCCTCTACGTGTATTACGGTAACCCGGTCTCTAAATTCCGTGCATTTACACTCACAAGAAGATTGTCAATGCTTGGTACGAAAGCCGCACGTAGGACGTACAGACATATCTTATTTACTTTAGTTTGTTATATTTTCAGTCTTGTTTTTTCCTTTTTATTTACATAATCATCGTCTGTGTGGCAATTTTGTTCAGGAGTGTGTCGCTGCGATAATCTTTGCTTTTTAAAATAATAATTAGCCTATTTGGTTTTAAATAATCATTATTATTCTTTTTCATCACAGCGCCTGCTCATCAGTCGTATATCATGTTTTAGCAGTTTCCACGTGTAGTCGGTGATATTAGTAGTTTATTAGACGTAGTTATTCGTTGCAACGCTGCCGATTTTGCTCCGTAAAGTCCTGAACAGCCGCCGTTCATGCCCGATCTGCAGCGCTTCAGTTTCCCGTATAGTATGAACCCGTTCTTGGGCCAGAGCTCACCTGCTGCTCATCCGCAGAGCTCGGACATGCTCAGCCATCCGGACTCGCCGTCCACGGTGCTCCCGGAGGCTCTTCTGACGGCTCCACACTCCTCCGTTCTCCACCTCGGTGAACAATCCGGCCTGATCGCGGACGGCTTTTCCCAAAGCGGGTTAGTCTATCTGCCCATCAGTCCTTCTGTGCACCGGGCCGTGCCGCCTCCACCCGCAACCATGGCCTTACGCAACGACCTGGGCTCCAACATCAGCGTCCTGAAGACCCTCAACCTGCGCTTCCGCTGCTTTTTGGCTAAAGTGCATGAGCTGGAGAGGCGAAACAAAATTCTGGAGAAGCAGCTGCAGCAGGTTCTGGAAAGCAACGAGCTTGCTTGCGGCGAGAGCAAAGACAATGGCGTGCAGACCGGCTCGGCCATTCCCCTGCAATCTCAAACCAGCAACAATTCCGCCAAGAGACCGACTACTTTATTCACACCCCCTCTTACGACCGTGCTTAATCTCGAACCCGATGACAAGACTCGGGCTTCAAGCTCGTGCGCGCCTAGCAAAGCAGCCGCGGCTAACACCAACACCAATAACTCCAACAGTGCACCTCATTTGAACGGTGCAGCAGCCAGAACCGGCCCTAACCCGCATAACCGCTTTCTACCCGGCACGATCTGGTCGTATAGTCCCAGCCGGAAGTGGACCGCGAGCTCGGAACCGCGGGCGATCACCAGCCCTGGAGTGTCATGGGTACATCCGGACGGAGTTGGAGTGCAGATCGACACCATCACCCCAGAAATCAGAGCCCTCTACAACGTGCTGGCCAAAGTAAAGCGGGAGAGGGACGAGTACAAACGAAGGTGAATATGTCAATGTAAAGCTGATTTGCACTTGCATGATTATGTGCATGTGGTTCTGTTCAAATTCCCATCAGTGGAGGTGATTAGGTTTGTGTTGTCTGCTGAAGAAACAGTGTGTTTATGAGTGATACTTATGATCTGCCCCTCCTGAGTCACTAAACACTGCAGAGTCCAGGGCAACACTGAGCTCAGCAGAAACCCAGACTGCAGGTCAAATAACTCTCAATTTCCCAGATGAGTGTGCTACATAGTAAACGAAGAAGGCCTAATTACTTGTCCAGTACTGAGTCATTTGGGATTGAGTCTGAGGCGGGCGCTGTCCCTGCTCCTGGTGCTGAGGATAATCCGATATGCCTTAACTTGCCATGTTTACCATTTTCCTGTGTGAGAAATGAACAAGCTGAGCACAGGATTAGTGAAAAGGCCAGTTGAACCAGTGTGTACAATTCAGCACTGCATGATGTTGAAATTTTACGTGTCAACGGAGCATGTTGTGTCTTGCGAGTCGTTAATTGTGAAAACGCCCTTGCGTAAATCATTTTTCTTGCACTCCAGGACAATCACACCAGTGTTGTTAAACCAAGCCTCAGGTTATTTTTTTTTCTTATCCATACACGCAGCTGTTAGCACTAAAATCATCACAATAGTTTTTGCTGTTCAGTAAAAATTCCACCTGGCACCGGGATGTAAGGGAAGGTGATTTTGAGGTACAGTGTGGTTATGAAGTTTGATTCACATTTCACAGTTCAGGCACTGAAAATATCATACACACGCAAAGGATATTACATTCCTGACTCTTGTAACTGCATTAGTTTATACTAGTTTTATTTAATGTACTGTTTAATATGCTTTGAGATGAATAACTGAGTAGCTAGTAGACTTGAAAGGGTTATCAGAAAATTTCAATATTGATTCCACAAACCTAAAATGAGCTTTGTAAACAATCAGTGTTTTTTTTTTTAATTTTATTTATTTATTTATTTTTTTATGGTGTGTGTGTGTAGTTCCCTAATGGAAAAAAATCACACACTTTTCACAAGATCATGTGTTTTTCACATGCGATCATGAATAGTATGTGATCATGTGGAAAACCTGTGAAGTTGTCCTAAAAATGTTTAGAGAGTTTGTAAAGGGTTTAAGCTCATAGCACACAAGAAATCAACAAATCACATGTTCCAGACAAGTGTTTTAGGGATGTTTTGATGAGTCACATCATAAATCATGGTCCAACAAACATAAGCTATTCTTGTCAAACTATCGCAGGTCAATTGTCAGTAGGGCAAAGCACATCACAATTGCAACATCTAGCAATGTAAATGTAATACGGTATATTGTTTGCATTTTGCAAGCCCTACTAAGTAATTTGTCCAGGCATGACATTATCGGGCAGAAATGAAGACGAGAGTTCTCAGTTAAATGAGACGAGCCTGATATGTGAAAATAAATCAACTTGTGGTTGAAAGCAACTGTTGAGACCTTTTATTATTGAATTATAGCTCAATGCCGCAGGAAAACGTAAGTCTTGTGTCCTGACATGTCCCATCAGCTCTATTTCTTTTCCGCAGTCATACAATAACAGTTTTATTTAAAGGTGGATAGTTATTCAGCTCACCATCTGCATCTGTCCCCTGACTCATGGTTTATGGCACATGAAGGCATATCTATATTTAACTTGTATGTCCATGTATGTCCTTGCAGTTCTGTTTTAGCATGAAGGCTTAATGTGCCTTCATCTTGCTAAGTCATTACAGGATTATTCATTCACACTTCTCAGTTCAGTCTTGTCTTTCACTTACTCTCTCACTCATTCCTGTCTTCTTGCCTGCGTCTCAGTGCTCCACACTGCATCTGCATTGCAGTTCACACACTGGCACTGACAGAGTGCACATACTCGCCGTCCTTTCCCTTTTTCTCTCTCTCCTTTACATCCTATCTTTCACACACAGACACACTTGTTCTTCCAGCTGCCTCTCAGTAATTGTATGTCGGCATCTCAGAATTGCTTGTAATGTTTGTTGTTAGTCTATTCTTGCAGTCCATGGAGGACGCTTTAATAAGCTGAAGGAAAACTGCAGTGTTCTGCATTTCAAAGAGCCCTTACGTAAGAGAATGAGAGAGAGAGAGAGAGAGAGCTGAAGGCTGGTTCTGTTCTACTCTACTCCACACTAGTACTGTGAATGCATTCGAGACAGTGTAATAAGTCATTAGAAGCATGTAAGCTCTTAAGTCATCATATACAGTATACACACACATGCACACACACTGCAATCTATGTGGTTGACATTGTTAATCTAATTTTGTTAGCACAGAACAGTTGCACCATCAGTGACAAAGCCTATTGGCACATTATTTGTCGTGTATATTGGACTTGTTGAAGTTCAATGTTCTCTTATCTTTTTTTAAGATGGGAGGAGGAATACACCATGAGAGTGGAACTTCAACAGAAGGTCACAGATTTACAAGAGGTGAGAACGTCTGATATGTGTCATCAAGTATTAGTCTTCTATTATTATCCTTTCTCCTACCCTTTATCCTTTTACTCCTTTTAACACCTGTTTTCTTGATTCTTTTTTACAAGTTTGCATATTAAACCTAGTCTAAAAAACTCCCATAGGAGGCCCTGGGCCCTCACTAATATAATTTTTATTACTATTATTATTATTATTATTATTATTATTATAATCTAACAGTATTTACACACAAATATGGACATGCATTGTGTATGAATGTATATGGACTTTTCAACACAAATCATGGGATTTAGCTAAACTAATTTTGGCTATTTGTGCAGATGTTTACACGCACCACTGACAGTATGTATGCACTAGCAACTAGTGTTTAAAAAACATATCATGTTTGCTCAGGAGAGCTTTTCAGACACATTAGTTTTTCTGCTGAGATCCAACACAATGAGTTGGGGTGTTAATGAATACAGCATGACTTATTCACGCTTTGTTGAACGTTAAGCATTGTACCATTCAACTATAACGTCTTTTCAGAAAACAGGTTTTTGGCTGAAGTGGCTTATCAGTGGATACTGAGTATCCAGATTGATACTGATATATTTGGGCTATCAGTGTGAACTTAAGTTGGAGTGGGAAATGAGGAACACAAATGTGATATTCTTCACAAATCTAAGTTCAATCAGGTACAGTTCACAACAATCATTGAGAAGGATTATGCTTTCTAAACTATGATTGATGCTGCAGTGCCTACATACCATATATGTTTAGTTGCGGATTTGTCTTATTAAAAAGTTAGTTGTGGATTTGTATATTAAAAAGCATTGAAAGGCACATGCATGGCTACAAACTACTGGTATTTATTAAGCTTTACTGCTTACACTGTGTATGCTTGTGCACATTCTAAATTATATGCAAAATGTGGTTATTAGAGAGGTAATTAATGGTAATGAGGGAGGAGGCAGAGTGATGGTTGGACAAATTATCTTAAGTAATTTACTGTTTGAATTGGTTCTCTGGTGGACTAGTGGCTAGCATGCAGTGCTCTCACTGCTGTGGCCCTGGTTTGATTCCTAGTCAGGGAACCAACCCCAGCTGGTCCCAAGCCTGGAAAATTGGAAAGGTTGCGTCAGTAAGGGCATCGGGCGTAAAACTTGTGCCAGAATTGAATATGCGGATGGATGATTCACTGTGGTGACCCTGAACAGGACAGCCAAAAAAGGGGGGGAAAAATTAATGTTTGAATTAATTTGGTTGGCAGAAATTATGTGACCTCCCCCCACTGAAATATTCTGCTTTTTTTGAAGTGCAAAAGCACCATCAACCAGAGCTTCTGTGATTGCCCAGTGGTTTGTTTTATATTCAGATGAATTTGAGACAGGATTACACCATGGATCAAGAAAGGATGTTGTGGTGCAGTGTTTATATCCTAACCTGACAACATTTTGCGTTACCATGTTGATTTTGTAACAGCCTAATTTCATTAGACACACTCTGTGTGAGAGGAACATATGAAAGCCAGAAGAAAAATTTCCAATGTCCAGTTTATTTGTCCTCCTTTTATCCAGTATATTTTGTTGAACAGGCTGGGTCCTGAAGGATGAAATCAGCCAGTCAGCAGTCCTCATAGACCATGTGTTTCTTATTCTGTGCTATTAGATTGATCTATGTGCTAAGTGTTGGTGTTCCATACACAAATTATCCCTAGTCCTAACTGATTCGCCATTGAAAACCTTCCTTCAAAAATTTTTGTTTGGAAAAACAACAAAACATTTCAACAACTGAACTGTTTTTGCAATTGATCAAATTAGATAATGGCTTTATCAAATCCTACTTATTACTGTAATTTGGGTTTGCTTCACTTCATCTCTCCTCACTTTTAATCAGCATTGCTCTCGTATTTTATGCCAGGTATGTTACTCAGTGTCCGGTTTCCTCTGTTGAGGTTGATCTGTTTTAGCCTGTTTCAGCTGCTGACGAATATACTAGGTATGCGGGTATGTTGGCTTGTCATGGCTCCATTCTGCGACTATTCCTATTTATAGAGTCACTCTCCCTGCCTGAAAGATCTGGTCTTATTTACTGTTTGACAATCTGGAAAAAAAACTGTCTACATAATTCTGAATACTTAATCTATACTGTAACGATTTGTTTTTGTATTTTGTGTGCGTGTGTGTAGGACCTGCAAGAGAGTGAGGTGTGTCAGGATGAGCTAGGATTGAGGGTGGAGCAGTTGAAGGCAGAGCTTGTCCTCTTCAAGGGTCTAATGAGCAATGTGAGTGCAATTCACAAACATGCACACACTTGCTCACCTATTTATTAAATCTTTCATCAATCAGTTAGTAATTTTTAGAACCATCTGAGGTCAACAAGCTTTCCCGTTGTCCCAACCAATTTTTTTTGTTGAACCTACAGTGGTGTGAAAAAGTGTTTGCCCCCTTCCTCATTTCCTGTTCCTTTGCATGTTTGTCACACTTAAGTGTTTCGGAACATCAAACCAATTTAAACAATAGTCAAGGACAACACAAGTAAACACAAAATGCAATTTGTAAATGAAGGTGTTTATTATTAAAGGTGAAAAAAAATCCAAACCATCATGGCCCTGTGTGAAAAAGTGATTGCCCCCTAAACCTAATAACTGGTTGGGCCACCCTTAGCAGCAACAACTGCAACCAAGCGTTTGCGATAACGTGCAATGAGGCTTTTACAGCGTCCTGGAGGAATTTTGGCCCACTCATCTTTGCAGAATTGTCCTAATTCAGTTACATTAGAGGGTTTTCGAGCATGAACGGCCTTTTTAAGGTCATACCACAACATCTCAATAGGATTCAGGTCAGGACTTTGGCTAGGCCACTCCAAAGTCTTCATTTTGTTTTTCTTCAGCCATTTGGTGGTGGACTTGCTGGTGTGTTTAGGATCATTGTCCTGCTGCAGAACCCAAGTTCGTTTCAGCTTGAGTACACGAACAGATGGTCGGACATTCTCCATCAGGATCTCTTGGTAGACAGCAGAATTCATAGTTCCTTTTATCACGGCAAGTCTTCCAGGTCCTGAAGCAGCAAAACAGCCCCAGACCATCACACTACCACCACCACATTTTACTGTTGGTATAATGTTCTTTTTATGGAATGCAGTGTTCCTTCTACGCCAGATATACTTGGACACACACCTTCCAAAGAGTTCCACTTTTGTCTCATCGGTCCACAGAATGTTGTCCCAAAAGTCTTGGGGATCATCAAGATGTGTTGTGGAGAAATTGAGACGAGCTTTGATGTTCTTTTTGCTCAGCAGTGGTTTTCTCCTTGGAACTCTGCCATGCAGGCCATTTTTGCCCAGTCTTTTCCTGATGGTGGAGGCATGAACGCTGACCTTAACTGAGGCAAGTGAGGCCTGCAGTTCTTTGGACATTGTTGTGGGGTCTTTTGTGACCTCTTGGATGAGTCGTCGCTGCGCTCTTGGGGTAATTTTGGGCGGCCGGCCACTCCTGGGAAGGTTCACCACTGTTCCATGTCTTCGCCATTTGTGGATAATGGCTCTCACTGTGGTTCGCTGGATTCCCAAAGCTTTGGAAATGGCTTTATAACCCTTTCCAGACTGATAGATCTCAATTACTTTCTTTCTCAATTGTTCCTGAATTTCTTTGGGTCTCGGCATGATGTGTAGCTTTTAAGGATCTTCTGGTGGACCTTACTGTGTCAAGCAGCTCCTATTTAAGTGATGCCTTGATTGTGAACAGGTGTGGCAATAATCAGGCCTGGGTGTGGCTAGAGAAATTGAACTCAGGTTTGGACAACCACAGTTATAGTATGTTTTAACAAGGGGGGCAATCACTTTTTCACACAGGGCCATGATGGTTTGGATTTTTTTTCACCTTTAATAATAAACACCTTCATTTACAAATTGCATTTTGTGTTTACTTGTGTTGTCCTTGACTATTGTTTAAATTGGTTTGATGTTCCGAAACACTTAAGTGTGACAAACATGCAAAGGAACAGGAAATGAGGAAGGGGGCAAACACTTTTTCACACCACTGTATATAGGCTAAAAAAAAATCGAATATTGTGGCAACGTAAATTTCTTTATGTAATTTAATTCAAAAAGTGGAACTTCATACAGTGAGAGAAAGAAGTATTTGATCCCCTGCTGATTTTGTACGTTTGCCCACTGACAAAGAAATGATCAGTCTATAATTTTAATGGTAGGTTTATTTGAACCATGAGAGACAGAATATCAACAAGAAAATCCAGAAAAACGCATGTCAAAAATGTTATAAATTGATTTGCATTTTAATGAGGGAAATAAGTATTTGACCCCCTCTCAATCAGAAAGATTTCTGGCTCCCAGGTGTCTTTTATACAGGTAACGATCTGAGATTAGGAGCACACTCTTAAAGGGAGTGCTCCTAATCAGCTTGTTACCTAATATAAGACACCTATCCACACAAGCAATCAATCAATCAGATTCCAAACTCTCCACCATGGCCAAGACCAAAGAGCTCTCCAAGGATGTCAGGGACAAGATTGTAGACCTACACAAGTCTGGAATGGGCTACAAGACCATTGCCAAGCAGCTTGGTGAGAAGGTGACAACAGTTGGTGTCATTATTTGCAAATGGAAGAAACACAAAAGAACTGTCAATATCCCTCGGCCTGGGGTTCCATGCAAGATCTCACCTCATGGAGTTGCAGTGATCATGAACAGTGAGGAATCAGCCCAGAACTACACGGGAGGATCTTGTCAATGATCTCAAGGCAGCTGGGACCATAGTCACCAAGAAAACAATTGGTAACTCACTACACCATGAAGGACTGAAATCCTGCAGTGCCCGCAAAGTCCCCCTGCTCAATTAAGCACATATACATGCCCGTCTGAAGTTTTCCAATGAAAATCTGAATGATTCAGAAGACAACTGGGTGAAAGTGTTGTGATCAGATGAGACCAAAATGGAGCTCTTTGGCATCAACTCAACTTGCCGTGTTTGGAGGAGGAGGAATGCTGCTTATGACCCCAAGAACACCATCCCCACCGTCAAACATGGAGGTGGAAACATTATCCTTCGGGGGTGTTTTTCTGCTAAGGGGGCAGGACAACTTCACCGCATCAAAGGGACGATGGACAGGGCCATGTACCGTAAAATCTTGGGTGAGAACCTCCTTCCCTCAGCCAGGGCATTGAAAATGGGTTGTGGACGGGTATTCCAGCATTACAATGACCCAAAACACACGGCCAAATCAACAAAGGAGTGGCTCAAGAATAAGCACAATATGGTCCTGGAGTGGCCTAGCCAGTCTCTAGACCTTAATCCCATAGAAAATCTGTGGAGGAAGCTGAAGGTTCCAGTTGCCAAACGTCAGCCTCGAAACCTTAATGACTTGGAGAAGATCTGCAAAGAGGAGTGGGACAAAATCCCTCCTGAGATGTGTGCAAACCTGGTGGCCAACTACAAGAAATGTCTGACCTCTGTGATTGCCAACAAGGGTTTTGCCACCAAGTACTAAGTCATATTTTGTAGAGGGGTCAAATACATATTTCCCTCATTAAAATGCAAATCAATTTGCAGCAACATTTTTCATGTGTTTTTCTGGATTTTTTTGTTGTTATTCTGTCTCTCACTGTTCAAATAAATCTACCATTAAAATTATAGACTGAATATTTCTTTGTCAGTGGGCAAACGTACAAAATCAGCAGAGGATCAAATACTTTTTTCCCCTCACTGTATATTCAAATTCATTGCACATGGCCTTTTTTTGTTTTAATCTTGATGATTGTCGACCTTCTGAAAAGTATGTTCATTTATGCACTCAGTACTTGGTCGTGGCTCCTTTTGCATGAATTACTGCATCAATGCGGTGTGGCATGGAGGAAATCACTGCTGAGGTGTTCTGCAAGCCCAGGTTGCTTTGATAACGGCCTTCAGCTCGTCTATATTGTCGGGTCTGGTGTCTGTCATAGATTCTGTGTGGGGTTCAGGTCAGGTGAGTTGGCTGACCAATCAAGCACAGTAACACCATGGTCAGCAAACCAGTTACTAGTAGTTTTGCCCCTGTGGGCAGGTGCCAAGTCCTGTTGGAAATGTAAATCAGCA